CTCTATTTTCCCAAATAGTCTAACATATTTAAACGAATTACACATAAAATTGTATATTTTAAGTAATTGACATCATTGATAAAAACATTCACTTGGTATTGTTAGTTTGAATCTTCCTATTGATGTTTAAGACTGCATACTGTGCGTATTGCCTCGATATAGCCATAATCCACAAGCATTATATACAAAGATGGATAGTGGCTAGCAGTGGAATCCAGGACGCGCATTTCGTCCTATTGGGGACTCGTCAGTTGGGTTTGCCAGCATCTCAGAGTTGATGTTCACTCTGGGACTCAGTAACTAAGTGTATAACGTGATGACCTTTGAAGCGAATGGTACTGAGTTCGAGTCCTAGAGTGAACATCAACTCTGAGATGCAAATACACCCATCTGAAAAGTCCCAAATAGGACGAAACGTGCGTCCTGGATTCCACTGCTAGCCACTATCCATCTTTGCATATTGATGAAAACAATTTCTTCCTTGAAACATTTACATTTTGCTTAAAATCAGTTTTATGTAGTTATTCATCAACTAAATAGTTCTAATATATAGTTTTTTAGTTATCTATTAAAAAAATAATCTCGTTATAACTGTAATCTAACTCAAGAATTTGAGTGAATAAGCCGAAGGCTTATCTATTAAACAGGTAAAATAAATTAAAACAGGTCATGAAAGTGGGAACAAATTATGTCATTATAAGACAAGGAAAAGAAGTAGTGTATTGATTACCTATTAAAATTGATCACTTCATTATATGAATAGCAGATGAACATATAAATAGAACAGGAAGAGTTATTTCGAACTCGGTTCGTACAGATCGTTTAGCTGTGTAAATGATCAGAATATTGAGATAATTTGTAAAATCTTTACATGGTCATAGATCAGGTTTATAAGTGTCACTTCCGAAAACTACCACTATTTGTGAGTGATATTACTTTAAACAAAATGGTACATTGTTTGATTTCCATTGATACTACTTAAAGCTACATTCGCATGAGTAATGTACAAGGATAGAGATTTTAACGTTATTGTTTGTCTCTCACCCAGTCATGATAAATAATGCTCAGAAATACGATGATTAACTTGATTCGTTGTACACACATTGAAACTGGCTCCTCGAGAGTAGTTAAATATAAATACTCATCTTTCTTTCGTCTAAATATTTTCGGTTGGCTAGAAAACGAAGAATGTAATCTTTATGAATTGGATTTTCTCCCGACAACACTTTTAAACTCATGTCATACTTTTAATAGGGATATTAACTTTAAATTTCTGATTCAACAGCATTGTTTTTTATATGTCGTCATTATTTTTATTGTTTTTTTTAAAAAAATTTATGTCAAGTGTTTCGTTAAAAATTCTGATGTGTTATCATTCTTTTGAATTGACCAAGAATAATTCCAGAAATCTCTTAGAACGTGTCATTCGGGCAAATAACCTTAACTCTGTGAACTAGTCATTTCAATTTAATTTCACTTATATATTGGTATAACAAAATTCAGTAAACTTATTAATTTAGTTATTTTCTAGGTGTGTGGATATATTTAATACAAGTTTACAAGTACATGAGTTGTATAGGGTTGACAGTTTATTCATTTAAGTCAGGTCAAAACACAAAAATATTTAGTGTTTCTACTATACAGTTTTATAATTTTGGTCATTAGTTACAGTTTAGATGATAACTTCAGAGACAACTGTCAAATTTAATTTCTATAAACCTAACAACTAATGGATATACTTCAAAAGAAATGGAAAAATATGAGTGTATATTATTGGCTTACATGAGTAGCACGTCTATTTAAGGCACTTTGCACAGCATTAACTGTTGATTCAGCTAAATGTAAACTTGAACCAGCTTGATATTTTGAATGTGCAAGACGGCGTAATGATGAAATATCTTCTGGTTTAATATAATAAATTTTATTTCCTTGTTGATTTATATCACTTTCTTCATTTTGTACTTTACTGTTTGGTGACAAATCAGAAGCTGGTTGTTTTGATTCTATTGAATATGGAATGATACGTGTAGAAGACCAGTCAGGATTTTGTAGATTGAGAATAGGTTCTTGTGCTTCATCTGTATCAGCAATCGTTGCATCCCAAATGATTAACTGAAATAATATATCAATAATTTCACTATTATTATTACATCATCATTTGTATTCAACACTTTTTGTAACTCTTTCTGCGTCTAAAGTTAAAGTTATATGAACTGGAAATTTTGCATTTAGTTATATGTCAGTTTTAGGAAATGAGAACCGAATAATTAATTTAGGTGTAATAGTAAATTAATGAAACGATAATTACACATCTTGTTAAATAAGATCTGACATAAAGCAATATCAGCATGAGTCCAAATTAGGTAGAGGAAAATTTCCATTTATTTTTCAGATCAGTTTAATTTATTATATTAAAAGAAAATACTGGTCATTTTAAATTTTAACACAAGTTGGTTAGTGAATTAAATGAGATTGATTTTTTATTGATTTATAAAGATTATTGCTCTAAGGGGATTCAGGTAACAGTGGTAAAACTAGTAATTTAGATAACCAGTTAAAAATGTCACCAAGTAGCGACAGTATACATCATTTATTTTTGTGAATTTAATGACTAGGAGCCTTCAATTTGTATGTTGTTATCAAAGTAACTGTTGCTTAGTTATTGTGTTGTGTATTTTTGGAGAAACACAGTAAGTGATGACTTAATGTCAGTGATATTTTTTTAGAAAAAATAGACATATATCACTCATATTGTACTCAAAGAATTGTCAAAATGAAATTTAATCTGGCTCAGAAGCTTGTATGGACCTAACTTTATGAATCTTTAAAACTAATATATTACTCTTTCTTAATGATAACTAAGTATCGTCATCTGACTAATAAAAATGGATAGAGTTTATTCAACCCTTACTTTGAATTACAGATGTTAGAGTAAGTAGACTATCTAGATTTGTGAATATACTGAACACAGAAGGTTGAAAGAAAATAACAACACTTTCTAAATACCTAACTTATAAATCAATTTCTTAGCTTCAACAGCTATCATTCAAGTACCACCACCAAACAATTTACAAACCAAATTGTAACTTCAATATATATATATAATATATTTCAATGGTTAAAATCATGATTCAATTGAAGCTAGACCACCATGGAAAACCTGGAAGCACTGGACGGCCGTTTCGTCCTAGTACAGGACTCCTCAGCAGTGCGCACTCAAGATCCCGCCCCCCGCGAAATCCGAACCCAGGACCTATCTGTCTCGCGCCAGGCGCTTAACCAACTAGACCACTGAGCCGGCATCCGAAGGTGTTAATGTCTAACTTCAGCCAATCCACGAAGTTGCGCTACCGCACACCATTGTCTTCAGTGAGTTCCTATCTCACAACAGACCTGGTTGAACTCCACTGGTAACGACTTCTCACTAGAACTCCAAGAGTATCTCCTGAAGTCAGTCATTAGTGAGCAGGTGATTAATATTATCAGAATGGGTTTTGTCGAGATTTTTAGAAATTTCACTGGTTGAAATCATGAGTCAATTGAAGATAGACCACCATGAAAAACCTGGAAGCACTGGACGGCCGTTTCGTCCACAAAACCCATTCTGATATATATATATATATATATATATATATATATATATATATATATATATATATATATATATATATATTCAGTGATTATGTTCAATATATTCAAAAGAAAATAGATTCTATAAAATCCAAATATTACCTGGGCTATTTGACTTAATGCATGATGCATAACATGGGTATGTTCAATTAAACGTTTAGTTGCTTTCAAATGATCATCTTCGTCTTCGAATTCCAATAAATCATCATTATTTTTAATAATATCAGCTGTTGTATTATCCAGCACATCATACAAACGTTTACCACGTTTATAAGATTTGGAATTTTTAATTAATGGTGAATCTATGTCAAAATTTGAATGTAATTGTTTCATTGTAGTGAGTATTCGATCTCTTTCAGCAAGCTTTTTAATATGAGTAAGTGTAGGAATATTCAAAACAAAAAAGCAAATAAAATGAGAGAAAATATAGATTAATTACAAGTTAATGTATCGAAGATTTCTGCTGGCTTCGTAAAGGTGATGAATTATTAGTTTGGATATAATAAATTACTACTTTTATTTAGTTGCTAAGTGATTTATATAGATTGTAAAAAAGAATACTTCTGGTAAATCTTAAAATATAACAACTATTAATCATTACTTAGATTTAAAAACTTCAGTCGACTCGATTTAAATTATGATAAAATGGCTCACTAACATGTACTTTTCAACAAAAGTACCAATAAGTCAATATTTCGGGGATACATAATCTTAGATTGAAAATATGAATAAGAATTAAGAGTTAGCAATGATGATATGTAGAGTTCCAACTTCTTCTCCACTAAATAAAAAACAATCTTTTGCGAGCCGAAGTACAGTATAGTACAGTGTAATACAGTTACTTTACTTGTTGTTATTAATATTTAGAATAATTGGTACGTTTGAAGTTTAAAACGAGTCCTTAAAACGATATAGATAAACATTTTGTAACCGATTATCTGTTTATACATATAGTATGAGTCATAGACAATGAAAGATGACTAGATTTCACAGTTACCATAGAACGAATAGAGATTACCATGAATTTTGATATGTTTATCAATTACTGATAGAACGCACATTTTATCTTGGTATTTATCATAGTTGAGTTATTTTAATATCCATCCGCTGGTGTAGTCAAATTTCATTTGAACACTTACCAGACAAAATTACATGTAGAATTTAGGCTTTGAAGTATAATACATTAATATTTTATACGTTTAAAGCAAAAATAATAATGCACTATGCACACTAAATATAAGGCTTTGCACATAATATTTTTGCCGTCTAAACTTGGAAAATTAGTAATATTTCCCGGTATAAACGTTTTCGTTTTAATTTTGAATGCTTTGTTTACATTTTGATTTATTTCATTATTCTTAAAACTTTAGGTGCGTACCTGAGTGGCAAGCCGTTCTTTCGCAGTCATAACATCAGTAAGCTTCGTTTCTGTTTCGGCCAAACGTGCTTGACTACGTGCCAAAGATTCAGTCAAACCTTGTATACGATTTGCCATATCTGCTTCAATGAAGCTAGATGTTTTTACTTGACTAGCTTGATTCTGTGCTTCAGCTGTGCGTATATTTGCTTCCAAATTATTACATGCTGATTGAATGTTCCCTATGTATCGAGTAAATTCTGTACGGGTCTATATAAGAATTATGAATAGAATTATAGAGAAAACGTGAATTAAACACATTATAGGATATGGTTCTGAGATAATCAAGTCCGTATATAAAGGATTATTTAATCATTCTTTTGTTACTGAACAGTTCTGATATCACAAATTAAAAGGTTCTGTAGTATGCTGCTATGTCCAAAAAATTTGTCGTTTTAAGTCTGTTAGAAGACAACAATACCCAGAGCTACATTGTAGACAACAATTATTTTGTAGAACAATTTTGTTAGTCGTCAAATGTCTCATGGAGGTGATAATTATTTTGGTGTTTGTATGATTTCAAATCTCACTTTACTATTTTAAGTCAGTAAGTAGATAGTTTAGTGATAAATAGGTAAAATTTCTAGTGTTTTAAAATTTTTGTTAGTTCCTAGAGAATTTAAAACGTACTTATTACTACAACATCTCTTGTAACATAGAAGTCTAATACTGTTAATGCTTTAATCGGAAAAAAATATTTGAAGTGATACTTAGAGTGCGGATTTACGTAAAACTCATATGAGTTTAAAAATGACCACGTTGTAAGTTGGTCTTGATGACTTTTTAAGTAAAGTTTGTGCTATGTTCGAGAGATTGAGATATCATCTTGGGCCGACGAGCGGGACGTAAACCAACAATGTGATAACAGGACAATGTTAGGCTATTTCTCTGCGCCCAAACCCTGCTAATTAGATCAAGAATACCATATTCATCCGATAAAATACATAATTTTACAAGAAACCCGGAAGAATGAACAAGCACTCAACTCATGTGTAATATATACAATAAAAAGACATTTTTGAAAAGTGTCACAAAATAGCTTACTAAAAGAGGAAACAAACCAATGGTGTTTAAAGTCCTTCCAAATGTAAAACATAAACTGAAGGTAATAATGAGTGCTTTTGGCCTCAAAATAAGAAATTTAAATTTCCACAATTAAATTGCAAAAATAAGAGGTTTATCAAGCGAATTCAGAGAATCTAGCATCCCCAAAAGCCTGACAAGCTATACATTACTTATTTTTATCTATCTGTGAACAATTAACCATATCAATCCCAGTTTAGTTTTTAAACTATAGTTGCTGTTAATAAAATACATAAATTTTAGAACTTAAACCAATTCATTTGTATTGTCTAGTTTCAAAATAATGAATTGAATAATGTACAAGGTTCAAAGCATTGATTTATGTTTACAAGTCGAAAAATTTCTTGCAACTAACTGGTCAGCAGATCATCTCATGTATTAAGTTTCTGTACATATCGAATAATATCAGTCAACTTTTGGTTACATATTCATCTCCCTGTAAATCTTCATATATGACATTGTGTTCCGATTTTGTTTTAACGATGGAAAAAAATTCATATAAAATATCTTAGTGAAATAATCGCTTAATTTATATATAACTTACATTTGTTAAATCTTTATCAGTTTGTTGTCTTAAATCAGCAAATTGACGTCGAAGAGCAACAACAGCTCTCCATAAAGATAATAAACGACTATGTTCAGCAGCAAAATAATCATTAAATGCACTTTCTTCTTCACGCCATTCTGATTCACGTTTATCTAATTGTTGAGCTGCATGTCTCCAGGCTAATGTTAAACGTGCAACATCTTGACTTAAACCTTGATTAGCTTGTATTGCTTGTTCTAATTGATCACGTAATAATTCATTTTCTCTAGATAATTCGTTAGATCTTATAAAAAGGAAATTAGATTTAATTATAGTAAAATTAGAATTTATTTATAATTTTTACAATCATTTATAATATGAAGTGTCAATTCAATATTATCATTTTCTCTATTATAACTGAGGTAATATTAAAATTAAAAACAGATGAAAGTTTTGTTATGTTATTTAGTATGTTGATATATTCATCCATTACACAATAGCATATCTTTTACTTTCAACAAGACTAAAAATTCATATAACAGATTGTAATATGACAATATACTGTTGAATGAATTATAACAAAACTGAGGTTGATTATACTTAAATGACAAGGAAAATCTATTAAGTTATTAGTCAAGAGTGAAAAACAAACGAAACTTTTTGTAGTGTTTTTTTAACAGTTGAATTCACGAGTCGATTTAAGTTAGACCACTATTGACAGCCTTGAAACACTAGGCGGCAGTTTCGTCTTAGTATGGGACTCCTCAGCAAAGCGTATCCACGATCCCGCACGCGGGACCCAAGCCCAGGACCTGCGGTCTTGCGATCGAACGGTTAACCTCTATTTACCTCAGTCAATGGATGAAGGGTTGCGGAAGATCATTGACCGATTGAAGTTAGACATTAACACCGTCAGATACCGGCTCAGTAGTCTAGAGGTGAGGCGTTCACACACAAGACCGAAATTCTTGGTTCTGAGCCTCACGTGCGGGGTCATGGATGTGCACTGTCGAGGAGTTCCATACCAGGACGAAACCGCCGTCCAATGCTTCCAGGTCTTCAACGGTGATCCAGGTTATATTGACTCATGAATCCAACTGTTAAAATACTACTATCTCCACAAATCTCCGTACTGATATTATTGTAACGTAACAATAAAATTTATCAGTTAGTCTGCTTCTCTAACGAAGATAAAACATCATAAAGAAATTTTGTTATTGATACTATTGATTACTTGAATACCAGTGTTTAAATGTAGCCTAACGGTACTTTTTATCTGTTATAACTTTTTGAATTACTTATAACAATGTAGGAACAAATTTGAAAATCTCAAACAATCAGATCTTACTTGGTGATTATATTCATCTTGAATTGATTCTTTTGAAATCTTTAATTGATATTTTTCATTATTGTTTTGTTTCAAGATTATTCCGTATATTTGTAAAGTTCAAGTTTTACTATTTCCTCATTTTAAATCAATGAACTATACTATTAACAAGTGGCATAATTCAGTTTGTTGAAAACAACTTGTTTTAAATAAGTTATTGGTTAAATAATAACGTCGTTTAAATTGTAATTTAACAGAATGAAAGTATTTTCTCCAACTTACCTTTGTTGTTCTTCATGTAATTTATTTACAGTATTTTCCATATCATATGAACGTTCTTGTTCAAGAGCTCTTGCTCTTGTCTCAGCTACATCAATACGAGAATTTAAAGTTTCTGTGGTGGTTTGAAGCTGTTAGCCAAAATGAAAAAGAGAGCACAGTTTTATTGTGATAAAAAAAAAGTCAAATAGTAGATGTATGAAACTATCTGAGTGTTGTTGCCATGTAAAAAGATCTTTTGAAAATTATTGATATGAACACATACACTAAACATTTTCAAATAGATATTCTAAATTCTCATCAATAAATAAATAGTTAACTAAAACGTTTACATAACTTATGATAAAATTTTCAAAAATTGGAAGCAGTACAGAAGGAAACTATTGACGTTAGTATATGAAAAGTATTCAAACTGATTGTAAATTAGGCTTCCTGAAGTAAAACAGTACGAGTCTATCATTTTCTAGGTGATTTTTATAAAAACTATAATGTAATAACATCAAACATATGACTATACTTTACATAATTTAATTCATGTAAGCGGTCCGGTAACATCTTAGACTGTGAAGTTGAGTAATACAGGTTCCAAACAAAGATCAATTGGGTGAAGCCGAGTACCAAGTAGTACGAAATTTACATGCAGACATTTCTGAAAATTACCTCTAACCATTTAGTATAATAATTTAAGAGAAAGTCATATGTAGCAAATGGATAGAAATTTTTAAAAGTCAGTATATACGTATGAAGATTGCTTTTGTTTGTATTCTGTTTAATCAGTTTCGTCTAAATCCGATGACAATCCTTTATTCTGTTGGTGAAAAGTAAATAAATTTTAAAAATACCACCAAGACTAAATTTTTAAACTTTAACATCGGAAAGACTGAGAAACCAGATTTTGGCTCTGAGTAATATTTTTTAGCTATAGGTTTGGATTGATTATGATGTGTAATTATCACGACAAAATATAAGCCGAATTGATTAACCTACTGATTTCGAATTAAGATTAGTGTATTTAGTAGTTTAAACAGATTTATTCAAATGTATTCAAAAGGAATGAAAGTTGAAGAAAAAAATGATGAAAAGACAAATATTTCAAACTAGTTTATACTCATGCGACATTGTAAAAAAGAAACAACAACGCAACCATTGTTAATAAGAACAGTTTTACAACATTGAACAACATCTATTTTGAAGATACAACGACTTTGAAGAATGACTAAGCAAGCTCACCACTTTATTTGATGTTTCAAGTTCAGCTTTTAGTTGTTCAACCTCAAGTTCCAAATCTGAGCTGCTTTTTTTATACTGCATTACCTATTATATACAGATATAAGGAGAGTGGTAATAGAGATTTAAGTTTAGTTGAAATATTTTCCACCACACATAATGGACTAATTTTGATTACAAAGCTAATTGAAGCAAGAGAAAACTGGGCAGTTTTTTGGTCCCACTTTGGAACTCACCAGCATTGTACATCCTCAACTCCACAGGGGAACGGACTTAAGACTTTCAATTAAAATCTACACATTTGAACCAGCATCCAATAATTTACAGAGTTTAATTAATTTGCGATAAATCCTGAGCAGTTTTTTTTAATGCTAATTATTTCGGCAACTAAGTACCAATTCTATTTTGTGTCATTTTTAAATAACAATTGAAATTCAGAAATAATGTAGTGAACTAGGATACAAGTGGGGGAAAGCAGATCCATTTTAATACAATACTACGGAATATCTTGGTAAAATCTGAGAACTATACAGTAATACTTCATTTCCAAAATATTCATCAATTGTTTCGGATTTTGTTGTTCCTTCGTTTCTATACCGATCATGCTCTGTTCTCGTTCTCTTCTCTTTGATTTTCCTAACACTCTGATTCTAGGTATTCAACTTTTGATTGATGATACATACTACTTATATCTGTCGATATCAGTAACACACCATACTAAAGGTATTTAGAAGCTTTTAAGAAAATTTCGAATAAAAAACTTTAAATATGTTTGGTTATTCTGGTAATACCGGGATTCCCCATATAAAAAACTTACTTTACTTGTTATCAGGGTTCTAAAGATTTAGAAATATGATCAGAATTATTATGTAGATCGTAATATACTGAACTGTCGGTTTTATACTTTAGGTGACAAAGTATATATGGGGCCCCATATCACTGACTAAATATTATCTCAAATTTAACGAAAAACCCATAACCAAATAATTGAGAACTTTACGTTAGAATACAATATTTACATTGTGTAAACATGTCAAATTAAGATTTTTTCACGAGTGATATTGTAAGAACTATGGTTAGATAATTTATCAGTAATGATAGTATGAATACATAGGTATAATTTTCTTTTCAAAAATAACTGATTTTGATATATTCTCCCACTGTCGGATGTTTTATCGACAAAAAAGAGCAACTGACTTATTCACTACAATAAATGAAACATTTCACTCAAGTTGTATAAATATAAGAATTTTACTGATTAGATTCATTTTCTTATTAAAAAGTACTATTCAGTTGAATTTTACATAGCAAGTAATTACCAAACATGAAGGTTTAATTAATTACTTAACTAGATATTCATTTCTCAATTTATTGAGTTGTAATTTCATGCGGATATTAAATAAACATAGAAATTCACTATTTTCAAGTACTTTACATTTTATTATTATCATTATTTACGTTATTAATAGTGCTCATTTTATTTGTTTTTTTTTCTAGGAACTTTTGATTAGTTAATTCTATATTGTGACTAAGATCTAGACAATTGATTATCTGAAATGAGTAGCCAAGAAGACAACGTGATGACGTTCGAAGCGAAGAGTAGTGGGTTCGAGTCCCGGAGGGAGTATCAATCATGGGATGCAGGCACATCCTATTGACTGGTCAAAGATACGACGAAACGTAAGTCCTGGATTCCACTGATAACCACCATCCATTTAGACCATCTTAGTCTCACAAATACTTTCAGTAAAACGTTTTTGAGTTATTTACATTTTTAGTTACGTAGAAATTAATATTTTTGCCTTTTCTATTATTTAGTATCAATAGAAATAAAAACTTACTTTTGCTTGTAATTTTTGTATAAGCTGAGCTTGCTTTTGTTGTCCATCTTGATAACTGGATAATTTTTTTTTATAATTTGCTATTTCTGCTTCATAACGTGCTTTTATATGATTAATTGTTTCTTCTGTATCAGTTAATTGAATTTGATGCGTAAATGGAGAATTTTTCTCAGCCAAAGAAATATGTACATCATCTGGTGTACATGCTGGTGTTGATGATATTGGGCAACATAATGCTTCTAATTGAGATGAATCCATTCCAGCCATTTGAAAAAAACTATCAAGACTTATTTCTTCATCTGGATTCATTGCGGATAAGAGTTTTTTTTAGTGTTCTGAAATTTATTATTGAAACAGTCAGTAGATTATTCTTATTTAAGATGATCATTTTAGATTACGGGGTACTAAGTATTAACATGTTATAAATTTCATCTGTTTACAAGTCATGTTGTACTTGATATTTATTGTTTTTCTTATAAAAAAAAGTTATTGCCGTTTAGTGGTTTTCTTCAAGTGATTCATAGGTTATTAATTAGTTTATAAAACTCAAGACCTTCAAGGTTATATTGTTCTCAATTCATATTGTATTATACTTTTGGGTTATATATGTATCATACTATCTAGTTAAACAGTAAATACTTCATAGGAATATTTATTCCGAATATGTGGATGATTAAAAAAATCTCTCATTAAGCTGATAAAAAGAAAATCGATTTACGAGTTAAGAGTAGCTATTTCTATAGTATTGTTAGAAACAAAATTTAGATTGAAAGCCAGTGATATTTAAATGTTGACTGGTAGCTATTTCGCTTAATTATAGATGAATTTTTAACAATCCATGATTATACATTTCTATATTATTTAGTGATGTTAAAAAAGATGAATAAAGCTCAGGATTGAAGGGTCTGGAATTGGAAAAATAAACCATTTAGCTATTCATGATGTTTATCTAAATATCAAACAGTATCTTTCAATACATCAACTTAGAGAAAATTGATGAGGTCATAGATGGCCACTGTTCAGTAGTTTCAATCTAAAGGTATTCCATATATTTTAAATTGTACTAACAAGCTGTCCAATAGTATCAAAAACAAAACACAACGAACTTATTATCATATCGTTTAATTATCTTTAATCAGTAAATAAAAAGATAATAATGTATCACAGTACAAGTCGTGGTTGTTAAAATATTCATGTCACACTTAAGGTTATCATTAAAACTTATTGATCTACCGTTTGATGAATATTTTATAATGCACTTGTCAAATAACTTTGCTTTAGAAAAATATTGTTAAACATTAAACAGATAGATGTAAATAAATTATACATTAAAAGTAGCTTTGTTAGTTTTTTTTTTAAAAAAAAAAAGGATTTTATTTATCTATCCTACCAATAATTCTAAAATCTGATATACAAGTACCACTGTTACCATAGTAACAAGAAGTGTAATTGATGGATTCTGTGAAGTATAAATTATAATTCTATCGGATTCTACAAATTATATATATATATATATATATATATATATATATATATGTATGATGACGATGCATCTCACAACTTTTGTATAAATATTTGCTTACCATAATTATCAGTTGTTGTTTTTTTATTTAGGGAACAGCAGAGCTGATATTTCCGATGTTATTATAGACTATAGAAGTGATTTATTAGATAAAACTTTATGAATAATATCCGACAATACAAAAAAATAGTTAATGATTTGAAATATAGTAAAATGTGATAGGGTTTCTATTCTAACATTTTTTTAAAAGTAGTTGAACAGTACCTTAGTCTATCCAACTACTTATTCATTTAATTCCCAAGAGAAAGTGATAGTACATTTTAAAACTAATTGATAGAACTTAAATATTATTGCATATTACAACTGGATAATCAGTTAAAATACAAAGATCATAGATGTACTAACCTAATATTTGATAACATTATGATAATCAATGAACATAGTTTGTATATACAACAAATACTTTCAAAGTTGAAAGCTGTTCTGTTGAAAGACATTTGTTGAGAGTTTGAAACATGTAAACAATAGTGTTATTTATGACAGATTTTTTTTTAAATCATAAGAGGGATAAAAAAATATCTTGTTTAAGCGAGATAATATGCATTATTTCCAGGG